GGGGAGAGGCAGAGAGGCCCCTGAGAGGCTGGAGCCCAGATCCCGGACAGGGATTCACGCAGAGAGGTGGGGAGAGGGAGGTGGGGAAAGGGAAGGACAAGGGCTGACAGAAGTAGAAAAGAGACACAGGGAAGGGAGGGGAGACAACTCAGGAAAAGAAAAAGACACAGAGGCAAGAGGGATCCAGAGGTTGTGAGAAAGGCACAGACGTGACAGAAGCCAAGAGAGTCAGAGAGGAAGGCAGAGAGTGACACCCAAGCCAGACCCGGAAGGCGGGGTGGCAGTGAAGAATTTAAGCAGATGGTGCCCCAGACCGAGACCAAATAACAATTGACACTGACCGCGGGGTCCCTGCAAAGAAGTAAGAGGTGAGATAAGGAACAGGGGAGACAGGACAGAGGCATGTCAAGATGCTGCAGGGAAGAGAGAGTTATTCTCAAATGCCTTGGAAAAGAAACTTCTGGTTCCACCTTCTCCTGGCCTGAGTCCATTCCCGGGAGCTCTTCTTTCTAAAGCCCATGCAACTCTCTGCTCAGCATCTTCCCTGTTTCTCCCCACCGGTCCCCCCTTACCCAGTGCCCCACAGAGGAACAGGATGCACAGGAAGATGCTGGAGGTGCCCATGGCTGGACCCAGGGCTCAGGAGTCTGGGAGAATGTGATCTGCACCCCGAGATCCTGAGAGCTAGAGCATCTGAGCGAGACAGGGAGGGACCAGTAAACAAACACACCTAGGGAGTGAATCTGGGGGGTGGAACCAGGACCAGATTCACCAGCCTGACGCAGTAGGGGCCCTGGGCCCGAGGCTCCTGCGCCCCACACCTCTCACATCCTCCCCGCCCCCTACTTGAGTCGGCTTGAGCCTTCAGGGTCTTCTCTGTTCTGTGTGTGTTGCTCTCAGCTGCGTCTGCCGCTTCAGAGTTCTGTCTGTCACCTTCCCCCTCACTCCTCCCCACCTCCCCTTGTCTCAAGCTGTTCTCAGCTCTGTCAGCTCAGCTCCCTGGCTTTGTTTGCTCCATCTTTCCCCTCTCCGTGCATTTGAGTCTCTCAAGGTCACCCTCCTAGAAGGCCTGGCCCAGAATTGTTCCAACGTGGTGTTTGAATGTGGAATCAACAATACCCTCTCCCACCCGCCCCCCACACAAAGCTCAGCTGCGTTAAGTGGGACCCCACCCAGCTTCACATCCCTTTGATCCCCCCAAGCCTCAACATTTGTACCCCATAATTATCTCTCCCAGCATTACTACTGCGGAGGAAGGAATTAATCATGGGTGGGGCCAGAGGGACAGGTGTGTTTCCACTAGGGGGGCAGTTCAGAAAGACTAGGAAAGAATGCAGGGAAAAGATTTAGGAGGTGGTGGTAGATTCTGGAAAACTGAGGTTTAAGACCTTGAGGAGGAGAGTCTAATCTGAGGAATCAGGCCGGGGATGTATCGGGAGTAAGATAGAGGAGGGAGGGGGGCAGAGGAGACAGATATCCTTTTTTTTTTTTTTTTAAATCTCAGGACCTCTTTATACTCTTAAAAATTACTGAAGACCCAAAAGAGCTTTTCTTTGTGTGAGTTAATATTGGTATTTACTATAATATTTACTATATTCAAAATCAAAACAGAGCATTTTAAATAGGTTTATTTAAAAATAAAAATAATAAACCTATCACCTGTTAACAAAATACAGTTTTGTGAAAAGTAACTTCTTTCCCAACAACACAGAAAAGGAGTGTCACTCTACACTTTGGGGAATTAGATAAAAGTCAGGCTGAATAGAAGATGGCCGGGTTATCACATCTGCTTCTGCACTCAGACTGCTGGGATGTGTTCTTTTGGTTGAAGTATGCTGAGAAAAGCCAACCTCATGTAGGTATGTAGTTGGAAAAGGAAGACCATTGAGGACCCTCTGAAAGGGTCTATAGGACCAGGAGTTCTGGGGCCACAGCTTGAGAACCGCTGTTGAGGATGGAGGAATCCAGGGACTCTGGAGCATGCCAGGAGCTCTTTCTCCCGCGGGGCGGGGGCGGGGGCGGGGGGGGCCCTCCCTGTCCCCACTGGGGCCCCAGTGCCTGCTGGGGGAGATTCTTTCCTTCCTTTTTATTGCCCTATAAAGCCCAAGGCAAGGGGGATATAAGGCTGGCGGATCAGGGCCCGGGAGGGGGCGGCGGGAGAGAGGTGATACTGACGCAGGCAGACACAATGAACTCCTTACTTCTTGCGGTCCTGCTTGGCACCCTGCTGGGGTCTGCCTTGGGTAAGGAGGCAGCCAAGGCCTGTCCCCCTCTGCTAACTGGCTCCCGGTCAGCCCAGGTCAAGTGCCTCTTCTCTCCTGCCAGGAAACCACATGCGATGCTTTGAGTGCAAAGGAGGCCCCAGCAGCTCCTGCAAAGAAACAGTGGCCACCTGTGGGGAGGGGGAGCACTGTGGCTTCTTGGAGCGCAAACCCCAGCCGGACCGAGGGCAGAACAAGCTGTCTGGAAACCGTGAGTTCTCATTTGTCCCTCTTCCCCCGGCCCTCCCCTGCCTCCAGGCTCAGTCTGGCTCTGGGCAGATGATGCCATGGCAGAGTAGAGCGGTCCGTAGCCCCTTCTGGCTCTGGCACTGAGCACCCCCCCGCCGCCCGCAGCCCACTGTCCATGGACTCCCACCTCCTCATCTTCACTCTCCAGAGTCTCAGAGGCCCATTCACTCATAAGTGGTTGAAAAAGTTCTGTCCCTTGAAGGTAGAGATCAAAATATTAAACCAAACTTGCAGACATTAGCTAAGGACCAGGGTGTGTGTTTGTGTGTGATTTTGAAATAATTTTTGATTGACAGAAAAGTAGTAGAATAGTAGAAAAAGTAGTAGAATAGTACAATTCCTGTATATGCTTCACCTCCCTTCCTCTAATGTTAACATCTAATATAACCATAGTACAGGGGCGCCTGGGTGGCTCAGTCAGTTAAGCGTCTGCCTTGGGCTCAGGTCATGATCCCAGGGTCCTGGGATCAAGCCCCGCATCCGGCTCCCTGCTCAGCGGGAAGCCTGCTTCTCCCTCTCCCACTCCCCCTGTTTGTGTTTCCTCTCTTGCTGTCTCGCTCTCTCCGTCAAATAAATAAAATCTTTTTTTTTTCCCACCCCCGCCCCCACCCCCGCCCCCTGACAGCTCGCCGCAAGTGAGAGTTTTTGAGGGCACAATTGGGCTAGGGGTCTTCTGAGACGGTGGACACTGTTGATTGGAGGCCCACGCGAGATCATGCCCACACAGGCGCTCTGGTGCCAATTCGTCTGGTCCCGCAGAGGTCTTTTCCATCTCAAGAGACTTGGAATCTAAAAAATATCTTTATTCTTTATGTTAGACATTTCATTAGGCACATCCAATGATTATGTCTTTAGGATAGTGCTGATCACTTGTCCCGCAGGGCTCACTCCTACCCCTGGAGCCTAGGCTTGTGTGTTCCTCAGTCGGTCCGGCTGTGCCTGTGGGTGACAGGACCTGTAGTGTTCATTTTCCACCTGAACTGACAAGAGGGACGTTGGCTTCAGTCCAGGACCCAAACCAGGACCCCACATTGCATTTAGTGCTCACGTCTTCTTAGTCTCCAATCAGCGACAGTTCTGCGTCTTTGTCTTCCATGATCTTGACACTTTTCAAGAGTCCCCATAACTTATTTTAGAGACACCCCTCAATTTACATTTATCTACTATTTTCTCATAATTAGATGGAGTCATGGATTTTTGGCCAGAACAGCACCGCGAAGGGAGGTCGGTCCTTTTCAGTGCCATTGAATCAGAGGGCTCACAATGTCAATGTTAATTTTGGTCACTTGGTTTCATGGAGGTGTTTTTTGGAGGGGGCAGAGAATCCCTTTGGGCTCCTTGAAAGTCACCTCTGCCCTGCCCTAGAAGGCAAGTCCTCAAGGCAGGAGTCCAACACCCCAGTCTTGTTCTCTCTCTCAGCCTCAGTGACCTTGATTCATCACTATCCAGCCTGCGTGGCGGCCCATCATTGCAATCAAGTGGAAACAGAGTTGGTGGGAGACGTGACTTACACAACCCACAGGGACTGCTGCGTCGGAGACCTGTGTAACAGCGCTGTGGCAAGCACCGTGGCCCCGCCACGCATCTTGGCTGCAGCAGCCACCGCCCTGGCCTGGCTCTTGCCAGCACTGTGGAGAGGCTAGTAGGCTCAGGAGGGGGAAGGAAGGGGAGCAAGGGAGCAAGGGAACAAAGGAGATCTGAGGTGAGAAGACAAACACCCCTCTGTGAGCCATTAAAATCTCTCCATCACATCTAGATAGATGGAAAATGCCATCTATCTTTTGTTGATGGGAGAATTGCACGAGTATTATGGGGGCATCCATGCTCTAGTTACCAAGCGTCAGCGGACTTAGTTACTCCTTAACCAATGAAACCCCAAAGGACAATGGAGAATCTGCCCTAAGTGACTCCTGGATCCTATTGCTAGGGAGAATCCTCCTTAGCCGTGAAGCCACTGAGGGGAGTGGGCTCTGGGCTGAGTGGGGGGGTCATAGGAATCAAAGGACCTGGTTGGGTTTGTTCCCCTTTCTCCCATTTGCAACTTGGTTCCCAATGTGACTCTATAGAATTGAGAAAGGAAATGGAAGCCCCGTGATGGGAGGGGTGCTTGGTGCCCTGCTTAGTAACCTGGCCAAGTGAGGCTGCCCTTGACTCTAACCTGAGGGACTGGGGCCTGCTAAGAGGGTCCTGGGTCCCATCCCATGCAGTTCTCCTACCCTTTTGGGGGAGCCCTCAAGCCAGGCTGCGCCTCCTTCTTGGCAGTACATCAGAGGTGTGGTCTAAATTTGGGATAAATGTTGTTGCTCCAAACACTGGGAACTGTGTGCCAACCCCAGACATAGGAAGGAAGGATGGAGGCCTGAAAAACCCGTTTCTCCATTTGCCCCAGCCCAGCCTCCCAGGGAAACTCCCTGGAGGATTCTTGGGGAAGGGCAGGAGCTGAGAGTGTTTTTTCCCCGAGAGGGGGCCTCTGACAACAGGTCTTTTGACAGTAAACACACAATTTATCAGACACAGACATTTATTACTCAAAACGCAAAGACGTGAGCATGGGGATGAGGTATGTATGGGGGCCAGGGTTTGGGGAATCAGCCCCATACAGTGAGGTCATCAGGTCCTTCCTGGGAGCCTTCACAGGGGACAGGACAGAAGCCCCGTCTCAGGCCCAGATCCCCATCCCTCCTGAGTCGGGCACGGTAGAGTGCAGGACGTGAAGTGCAGGGCTCTTCTGGGGACCAGTGGAGGGTCTGGGATGGTCCAGAGGGGTATGGGAAGGGACTCGGGAAAAGCCGAGTGGAGGATGTAAGGTGGAAGGATGGGTGGGGAGACCACTGTCTAATTAAAGAAATGTGAAGAGCCTGGAGAAATGCTTTTCTGAGTGAAGGGAGTTAAGGAGAGACCAGTGTAAGGAGCCGGGGTACAAGGAGACACAGGGCCAAACGCAGCCTAAGGCAGGTGGGAGGAGGGGCAGCCACGGAGTGAGTCTCAGTGCAGCAGCCAGAGGCCAAGGCCAGCCACAGAGGCGAGGAGCACAGGGGCCAGCGCTGGGGTGGGCCGAGGGGCTGGGCTATTGCAGTTGTCCTTGCTGCAGCAGGTGGTGTTATAGGTCAGGCCCAGCTTGTGGTTGGTTTGGTTGAAGGCCTCCCGACAAGGCTCTTCCGGTGTGCCACATCGAAGGTTGGAGAAAACCCACATCTTACCTGAGGGTAGGAGTGGGCCGTGGGGTCAGCTCGGAGGGGTGCCTTCATGCCTGTGTCCAACCCCCACCCCCGCCCCATGCACTCGCCCAGGCTTCCTTCCTGACTTTGCCCCGGCCCTCCCCTCCTTATCTCTTCTCAGTAAGTCTGACTGTCCTCCTGCACTTCCGTCCCCCGCCCCCTCACCCCAGCCTTGGCCTGGGACTTGTGGCTGGGAGGCCTTGGACTTGTTACTGTCTTCAGTCCATGGAAAGTCATAGAATGGTGCCTGGCACATAAGACTCCTTGGCCAAATATTGTCATTGCTGGGACTGTCTGTCCCATCTCAGTCTGAGCCACAGTTGGGCCTCGGCCCCCGCCATAGAGTCTCCCACTGGCCCCCTCTCCTCACTAAAGAGGGGGATATTACCGAGGTACACATTTGTTGTCAGGCACTGTTGTCCGGGTTCCAGGCGGCAGGACTGCCGGTCCACACAGCCCAGCACAGGGACTTTGTAGCAGGAGTGACAGCGAATGTCAGCTGGGAAGACACAAGTCAGGCTGAGGTGATGGGGTGTCTGACTCACCTGGGGACTGGCCGAGCTGTGGGGTAGGGTGGAGAAGAGCCAATCAAGTAGGTGTTCTGACCGGTTTGGTTTGGTGGTGACAGAGCAGGTGAGTGAAGCAGAAAAGGGTAAGTGGGTGAGGGTGGAGTTGTTGCTCTGTGAATGCCTCACCCTAAACATCGTCCTGCACCCTACCCCATTCGGGGATGAGTCAAGAGGGGCAGAGCTACCAACAAAAACATGGGGCTAGGGATAGATGGAATGTGAGAATACCGTAGGCAAGGAATGCAGGAGGTGGGGGAAAATATGAAGGAATTCAGAAGACCTCACAGATGGAGACTTGAAATTGGAAGAAACACTACAAATAAAAATCATGGTTGTTGGGGCGCCTGGGTGGCTCAGTTGGTTAAGCGTCTGCCTTCGGCTCAGGTCATGATCCCAGGGTCCCGGGATTGAGCCCCACAGTGGGGTTCCCTGGGATCCTGCTTCTCCCTTCCCCTCTGCAGCTCCCCCTGCTTGTGCTTGGTTCGCTCTCTCTCAAGTAAATAAATAAATAAATAAATAAATAAATAAATAAATAAAATCTTAAAAATCTTTATTTATTTATAAATAAAATAAAAATCATCATTGAAACACTTGCGTCAATGGCTTGGGACTTGAGGCTGGCAACAAAGCCCCCTGTGGGTGGCTCACCACCTGGGACCACCATGAGTGTGGGAAGAGGAACCAGACCTGAGTGGGGTCCTCTCACTCTGGCAGCTCTCGGACAGGAGAGAATAATGTCTGAGAAACAGATCGTCAGGTGCTGTCTGAGCACTTTACCAGAATGGAGGGGGTGGATGCAGAGAGTGGCACCCTCCAAGCTCCCACCTCAGCTAATTCTAGGCTTGTGTGAGCAAAGTTTGGTGAAGGAGGGGTTCAGTCCAAGGGTAGAGGAGCCTGGTGACTGCACCTCTGTGATTTGTTTCACCCTGGGGGCGAGCTGCCCTGCATTCCCTCCATATCCCAGCCTGGTTCCCCAGGAGGTTCTAGGAGATTGCTGGGACCCTCCAGAAAGCTTGGTCCCTGCCGGTATCCTCCCCGGGGAAGGGCAGGGGTGAACTAGTAGAGGCTTGAATAACTGAGAACAGAATCTGAAGGAGTAGGTGGGGAGGGTGGGGTGCACAAGAAGCCCCAGGCTGGATGCCTAGGTTTCTGGGAGGACTCCGCTGAGTGCAGGTGGTGAGAGGAGAAACCAGTAAGCTGGGTTTGGTCATGGAATGGGGGACAGGGGACCTGGAGCCCTGGCAGGTTAGAAGAGTGGGTCTTGGAGGCGGGGAGAAGTGTGAAGGAGACAGGGGTCCTTGAGGAATGGAGCAAGGACCCTGTCACAGGGAGGCCGGGTTCTGGAGGCACAGGAGAGCTGCGCCAGCTGGAGCTAGGGGTGCTTGGGATCCCAAGCAGTGGGCAATGGAGGGCAGTGGGTGGGGTAAGGTGTAGAAGCCCCGGGGGCCCCCTGGTGCTCACCTGAGACCCAGCAGAGCAGAGCCGACAGGGTGACCAGCAGAAGGCCTTTCATGATGAGGGTCCAGAGGTTGGTAGCAAGTGCAGCAGCTGATAGAGTAGATTTTCAGGGATCCAGCTCTGGGAGTCGAGTGGCCTTTTTGGGATTTATAATCCCAACGGTCCCTCCCTTCACTGCCTCTGGTGGCCCCTCCTTCCCTATTTACACCCAGATGACCAGGGGTGGGGAGGGACTAAGCAGAACTGGGTGAGGGAGTAGGGATGGGAGAGAGAGGTAGTGGAGAGTAGGTACACTCGTGGCCAACTCCATTTTGGTTCTTGGTTTCAGGCCAAGACACCCCTCCTGGTTCCCAGCTGACAGCCCTGCTGCCCAGTCCTCTGAAAAGACATCGCCAAGGCCCCTGTGATGTTACAGGGCTGTAGCGGCAGTGCCTGCTGGTTCCTGGCAAATGGACAAAGGGGTGTGGCCTACACTCATTGCCCAGTTTGGGTCCCTGGGGGGCACTGGTAGGGGAATGTGAGCAGCAACTGAGGACAGAAGGGGCCAGCTTCATCTGGATTCAGCCTTGTCATGGTCTTCCCAAGCCCAGCTCAGCCACAGGATGAAGGATGAAGGGTTTGTGATGTCACCAAGGGCTTCTGTGATGTCACAACAGCAGAGGCACAGGCTGGGGCTGCCTGCTGAGGTGAAGCCTCAGGCCCTTAGAAGGTTCTCGGAACTTGCCCTGGCTAAACTAGGGCTTGGCCTAGCCTGGCTTGCTCTAGTTCAGTGAGGGCCAATGAAGTCCAGGGTATGGGGCATGTGGCCTGCTCCAAAGTGTCTCCCAAATCAAAACCTGCCAGTTTGGGTGGGGCACCATTGGCCAGGAGGGACAGCCTCGGCACAGAGAGGTGAAGTAGAAGGTAGAATAAGAACAGAAGTTGCAGGGCGCCTGGGTGGCTCAGTTGGTTAAGCGACTGCCTTCGGTTCAGGTCATGATCCTGGAGTCCCGGCATCGAGTCCCTCATCGGCCTCCCTGCTCAGTGGGGAGTCTGCTTCTCCCTCTGCCCCTCCCCCCTCTCATTCTCTCTCTGTCATTCTCTCTCTCAAAAGTAAATAAAATTTTAATAAAAAAAAAGAACAGAGGTTGCAATAATACTAATAACCGTGAACACCAAGTGCTCCTATGTGTCAGCCATTGTTCTAGGCGTTTTAGGTGTATTACTTTTTTATTTCTCAATACTCTAGAAGGTAGGTGCTTTTATCCCTGTTTTACAGATGAACGAACAGGCCCAGAGAAGTTAAACGACTCGCCCACATCACTCAGCTAGTAGAGGGCCAAGGCAGGATTTGAACTCAGCCGGGATGCTGGGGGCCACTGCTACCCTGCAGGAGTTAAAGTATGTGAAAGTGCTTCTGTAACCAGACCGAGCACCACTTTCAACTGAGTATTGTTTGAGGGCTGTGAGCGAGCCAGCGAGGACTCCCAGAGGGATCCCGGCAGCAGGTAGCCCCGCCCTGCTCTTATCGGAGCCCCCAACCCGCGGCCCCCCCAACTCCCTCCCCCCAGTTTTCCTCCGGTTTCCTCCGCTGATACATTCGCCTCCTATCCCCACCACATCCCAGCCATGGCTCTGGTTCTGCAGCTGCTGCCGTTGCTGCTGTCCAGGGCCCAGGGGGACCCCGGGGGTAAGCCATCTCCCCCCCCCAGGAAAGTTGGGATGGGCGCGAGGAAAGACTGAGGGAGGGTGGAGCGATGGGGAGGGGAGGGTTAATGTGTGTGGGATGATCCAGGCTGGTGGGGGCACATAGGAGAGGGGAGGGAGAGGAGACGGGAGTGGGGTTCGTCTTGCCTGTGGACTTGCCCTAACCCCTGCCCCCTCCAACCCCAGCTTCACTGGACGGCCGCCCTGGAGACCGGGTGAATTTCTCCTGCGTAGGGGTCTCGCATCCCATCCGCTGGGCCTGGGCGCCTAGCTTCCCGGCCTGCAAGGGCTTGTCCAAAGGACGCCGCCCCATCCTGTGGGCCTCATCGAGCGGGACCCCCACTGTGTCTCCAGTCCAGCCCTTTGCTGGTCGCCTACGTGCCCTGGACCCTAGTATCCGGCGGCTGGAGCTGCTCCTGAGCACGGGGGACTCAGGCACCTTTTTCTGCAGGGGCCGCCACGAGGAAGAAAGCCGTACGGTGCTTCACGTGCTAGGGGACGGGGCTGATTGCAGGGCACCGGGGACTGCCCACGGTAGGTCCAGGCCTTTGTGCGCGGGACTTCGACACACACCTTCGGGGGGGAGACAGGCCTTAGCTGGGGGGTTCCTGGGCGGGAGAGCTAGTTCTCTGTCCTTGCACGCCTGACCTCAGTATCCACCACCACCCCCGTCCTCCGTTCCCCCAGGGTCCGTGAATCCCCAGTTCCTGATCCCCTTGCTGGGCGCTGGGCTGGTGCTGGGACTCGGGGCGTTGGGCGTGGTCTGGTGGTGGCACAGGTGAGCACAATGCGCGGGGCCTGGCTAAACGGGTCGTGACCAGAGGTGGGAGGGGCAGGACCAGAACTTGGCAGACAGAAGCTAGACCTAGAGCTCCGGCGTGTGGTGTAAGAGAGGAAGTGGGGAGGTCACCACTTGGGCCGAGGCCGCAGGTTGGTAGGCAGAGCCCTGGCTAGGGAGGCGAAGCTAGAGCCCGAGCAGGATCAGAGTGCGGGCGGAACTATCTGTGGGGGTGGAGCCTAAATTGTTTTGCGGGTCTGAGCCTTCGAGTTGCTGGGTTGCTGTTGGCCCCGAGGAAGACGAGAGATAAAATTGGTGGCTCTCAAAGACTTATACATCCATTACAGACGATCACCCCCGCACCCGCCTCGACCACTCCCCAGATTTGGTGAGATTAACTCCACCCCGTTTTCCTTCTACTGCTCCCACACTTCCCACCTCTCAATTCCTGAGTCTGAGCCCTTGCTGGGAGCAGAGTGTTGGTCACTTTCTCTCAATCCTTCAGCTCTATTCCCCCCATATAGATCCACTCGTGAAAGTCGAGCCCCAGAGGCCAGTAAAGGAGGAGGAGCCTAAGAATGCAGGTGACCTGGACCAGGAGGCGGTAAGGGCCTGGGGATTGGAAGGGGGTTGGACAGAATCCCCGAGAAAAGTGGACTAAGAAAGACAGAGGCCTGAATTCCCCAGGGAGTCCGACTTGTGAGACCCTCCTGCCTTCCTCCCCACCTTTCAGAGCCTGCTCTACGCCGACCTGGATCATCTGGCCCTCAGAAGGCCCCTCCGGTTGTCCCCAGTGGTCCCGGCTGATGCCTCCACTATCTATGCGGTTGTGGTTTGAAGGGAAGCCCTTATTCTAAACCTCACAAGCTGGAGGTTCCCAGCACTCCACAACTCCCCACCCCTTCTTGGCCCCTTACCTGGAAAGGGAATGCACAACGGGATAGAAATGAGCACTAGCCTTAAGAGTCAGGAGCCCCGGGTTCTCTGCGACTGACCTTGCTCCTTCAGTTACTCCAACTTTTCTCGTATACCTTTCATGTCTTCTTCACCACTAGTGCCCTCTCTAAACCTGATCAAGCCCTGCCTCCCTATCTTAAGACATCAACAAGTCCTAGATAGTTGTCCTGTCTCTTCATTCCCTCCACAGTCCAGCTCTTTGAATCAGGGGCCTACACCTTGTCTTCTCCTTCGCTCCACTCCTCCTGCTCATCATGTCTCCATGAGGTTGCCAGTGAGGTCCTAAAGGCCACACCCAGTAGAGTTTTTAGCTTGGTCTTTGATTACTTCTTTCTTTTATGCTGGCGTCTTCCTTTTGGACTCTTCCTTGCTCCCTATCCCCATGGTGTTCCCCACCATTCTAGATTCGTCCCTTATCTATCTGACTTCCCTCTCCTCTGGGAATCTGTCATCTACAGCCAGTCCTCAGCCCTCACCTCTGCAAACAACACCTAGAGCTCTCTCCAGCTCAGATCTTGAGTAATGGGATTTCCCATCTATCCCTGGGACATCCCTGCCTGGTTGGCTGTAGGCATTCTGCGCCCAGCATATCCAAAACCCAACTCATTGTCACTCACTCAATCCTCCTCTGCATTCTCTCTTGATCAACCAGTTGCCTAAGCTAGAAACTGGGAGTCATGCAGACCTCCTTCTGCTCACCCCCACACAATGAACCAAGTCCTGTCTTTCTATTTTAATGTCACTGTGAAATCCATACCCTTCTTCACGCCCAGGGCTGCCACCTGAATATACTCTCCTCATTTCCTCCCTGGGTGACTCATAGCCCCACCTCACTCTCTTGCGCCTGCCCTCCTCCCTGAAGCCAGAGAGGTCCTCCCCAAATGCGAACCTTCTCACAACCTGTATTCCAGAGTTGCAGGATTTCTTTCCATAACTTTCAGCTCTGGACCCATGGGCCTTGGCTTTGGGTACAAGGTGCTGGCAGCACTCTACCTACCTTCCAGGCTTGTCTCTGTCACTCCACATGCGCACAGCATGCCAACCTGGCAGAGGTTCTCCCCCCATTTCTCTCCCAAATATGGCTTCGTGCCACAGAAGTCCTTCTTCCTGGACCTTTTTTCCTCCTCCCCACTACCTTCCTGGCGAATTCTTCTTTATCCCCAAGACTCAGCTGAAATGTTGCCGTTTCTGGGAAGCCATTCCTGACCCTCTCTGCCTACCCCTGCATACATTTTTGATGCTGTAGGCAGTCTCCTTATTTCTCTCTTAGCAACAACACCCTGTGAATTGTTCCATCACAACCCGTATTTCAATTTCAATGTACTGTGAGTTCCCTGCTATCAGAAGACTGACCCTTTCTATATTACTGCTAAGCCTCAGTAAATGAGTGAATGAAAATGAACGTCCCTGAAAGCGTCACTTCTTCCTCTCTATCAACGAGGGGTGGGTTGGTAATCTACCAATCTCTGAATCGTCTGACATTTGGATAAATTGAGTGATCCACCTACTCTTTCTTCTCTACCTCTTATATGCTCCCCACAATAGAAATTCTATCCTGTCCATCTTATGCCCAAACACCTATGATAGGGCTGGGCAGTGAGTCAGTATCTAATGAGAGTTTGATTAATGAAAGACTAACCTCAACCTCAGATTTCAGCCCTGCCCCTATCCCAGTAAGACACCAGCCACAGCCCAGTCTAAAAGGTCAGTTCTGTTTTATTAGTTCTGAGGAAGAGGACTCACCCAGTGGACTCTATCCTTTTTCCCACACTAAGCCCCCCCCCCAATCTTGGGGCCGTCTCCCCACTACTACCTATTCACCGTCCTCTATCTACGCCTCCTTCCCCTTCTACTCCTTATGCTGCCCTACCCCTGGCCAGCCAGAACCCTACGGCCAGGCCCTCAGCTGTGGGGGCGCGTGCTGAGCACCAGGCAGAGGGAGCTGAGCCCGGCGCCTGCCTTCTCCAGTTCTGAGCAGGACACAGGTACCAGGGTGACATCAGAGAGCTTCTGCAGTGCCTGCAGGGAGGACACGAAGTGGGGAGAGGGGAGTGAGACCCCGAGGCCACAGCCAGGCCCTTCCTGGAGGCAGCTCAGAGTGGCACCACCCATGCTTCTAGAGAAGGTACCCCTTCTTCGTCCCACTAGGAAGGCCTGAGACTCCTTCCTCTGGTTGTTGTTGGTGGTGGAGTTCCTGCCTTCCCTCACCTCCTGGCTATTGGGCAGGTCCCCGCCTCCACGGTGCAGGAGAAAAGGGAGCACACCAGGCAGCCCAGGTCGCAAAAAGAGACAGTCAGCAGCTGCATCATCTGGGAGGGTCAGGGACGCGTAGGGGTGGTCTGTCAACACTGCCATCGCCTGAGGGAGACGAAAGAGGAAGTGGTCAAGTCTCAGAGCCTCTCCACAACCGAGTGTGACGGCCCTACCACCGTTAAGGGCTGGGGACACAGTTACATTTGTTGTATAATAATGATAGCAAGCACTTGTTCTTAGTATGTGTCAGGCACTGATCTAAGCATTTTAGTGACCTTTGTTAAGTTCCACCTCGGACACACATGCAGTTCTTACTACCTGCAACTCTCTTCTTCCCTTCTCTAGCCCCCACCAGTCAATGTCATCCATCCTTCCTCATAGCTTAGACCCCACCTTTGGGGAGGTTTCCGGAAACTCGGGAAGACGATGTTTATCGACTGTGTTCCCTGTCCCTGTCCTGCTATAGTAACTTCTGGCTTTCTGACGTGTTTTCATACTAGATGGACGGCTCCATGAGGGCAGGGGTTGGAATTAAGTCTCTGAACCTCCCAGCTTTCCGCCTCCCCGGCCAGGAGCCACGCCCACTCTTGCTGGCCGCGCCCCAACCTGCCCCACCCCACCCCGCCCCTCCTCACCCTGACAGCCTTTTGGGCAGCGTCGCTGCTACCGGCCACGACAGTGCGGGGTCCCCCCATGCCGCAGAGGCCGCGCAGGTGCGAGGGGCCCGAGACAGGCACTGTGGAGACCGCGAAGTCCTAGGGGCAACAAGGGAAATTATTCAGGGACGCGGGAGGGGTGAGGGGATTCCCTCAAACACAGGTGGCTCTGGGCTCCTCCCTACTCCGCGCCGCCTCCCTGCGCCCCTCCTACCCCATCCGCTCCGCGCTTCCCCAGCACAAAGCTGGTCCCGCTCCTCACCCGGAACGTGTCCGCCACGATCTCAGCTCCTCGGTGATTGGTCCACTTGGAGAGGCCTACGAAAAACTCCCGGCCTGAGCCCAGGGAGGCCGCGGAGGTTTGAGAGGCAGAGTGAGTTGGAAACAAGGCCCGACATGGCCTAGTCTCCCCAACTCTGCTTCCCAATGCCAAGCCCCAGGGATGCAGGCACCTCAGCCTCACCGGTAAAGAGAACATCTGTGCCATCCAGCGTCGCGTTCTCATCCCCCATCTCCACGATCCGGAGCCCAAGGTCCTGAAGGGCTCTGCGGACTCCATCGACCTTAGGGCAGGAAAAGAGGGCGCGGGGCAGAGACGTTCCCATCCGCAATTCTTAAAGTCCCGCACATCCAACTCCTCCTTTCCCCTTACCCCCCAACCCGCGCCCTGGCGCTCACCTCCGGCCTGCGGGAGGGGCTCCAGGGACGCGTAATTAGGGCCGTGTCCCCTTGGATCACGGCGGTGTCACCGAGCAGCGGTCCCAGCGGCAGCGACTCTTCAGGAGGCAGTTCTAGCAGCTGCAGCCCCAATCGCTGCCTCAGTTTACCCCCCAGTACCCCGTGCTCCCTCTGAGCTTTAGCCAGGTCCAGAGCCGGGAGGCCAGCCCCCGCACCCTCCCCCGAAGCCAGGCTCTCCGGGACCCCCCGGATCAGGGCGTGGGAGCAGCGGCCCAGCCCCTCCCCTGGTGTACCCATCCCATCCACACAGTCTCCCCCTCCGGCCGCGCTGATTTCTTAGTTTTCTCTTTTTCACCTGTCTGGGAGAAGAGACAGAAAGGCGGGGGGGGAGGGGGAGGCAGAGAAAGAGATGCACAGAAGGGCGTAGGGGGTGGTAAGGAGCGCCCGGGTCTTCCTTCTGCCATCTCCGGGCGCCCCTCCCACTTCGCCCCACCCCCTCCAGACCTTTCTCTCCTGCCCACCCCATTCCACCCCGCACCCTTCTGGATCTGCTTCTTTGGAGGGAGTCCGAGGAACAAGACCGGGACCCCTAATCTTCAAAACACCTGTTGCCCCTGTTCGGGGGCTTCGCGAGGTCCCTCTGCTAGGCGCCCCTCTTGGCAGCCGCTAGGATGCGCTCACTCCCCAAAAATGCAACGGCCCCGCCCCCTTAACCCTCAGCTGCTCGCTGCCATAGGGACCCGAAGTGCGGCTAGGGACCCAAAGGGGTTATGGGACAGAAGGAGACAGCTGGGGAAGAGGGTCAGGGCCTAGGAAGATGGAAGTCCTGAACGCCCAAACGAGAAAGGGGAAGAGGGGCAACGAGGGAGGAATTAGAACCTAAGGAGTTAAATATCCTCTCTCCACCCGGGCCGGTCGTGCTGCCCCTAGCGCGACCCAGTATAAACCAGACCGAGTCCCGGAGGACTGGGAGAGGTCTAAAACGAAATCCAAGGGGCGGGGAAACCGGGGGCGTGGTCCCAGGGAGCGGGCGCCACTCCCGGCTCCAGGACCCTGTCTCCCGGTCCATCTTCCCCAAAGTCTACCTCACTCAGCTCCGCACCCAAATCTCCGCCTCCTGCACTCTGTCCGTTGCAGGCACCGGCCCGGCACCCTCAAGCTCCGGCCCGCACACGGTCCAGGGGACACCTCCAACCCCTAGACTTACCTCCAGCGGCCACCCCGACTCCTGCGCTCTGTGATCTTGGCTGGGGCCCCACCCCCCTGAGGACAGAGTTGGTTGGAGAAGGGAGTCCTAGTCTTCAAGCCTCGGGGACTGGAGCTCTTGGCTTTTGAGGGGTCCCT